AAAACTAAACGAAAATTATTATTCGAAAGGGAAAGTGTCGTAAATTCAAGATCAACGAAATATAATAATTTATTACTTTTATTTAACCACAATGGAGTACAATAATTGTTGATACTAGTACACGGGTTACTTTTAATGTCAACGAGAGTTTCTCACTCTGATAATTCTGGCACTTGACGAGGATTAGCGTTGCAAGTACACACATAGAGCGTGTGCAGTCAGTAAACTCGCGTTCGTGAAAAAACATTTTAATCTAACCTGTTTACTGCTCGATAACGAGTCCGTGTTTCCGACACAACAACAATGACCGATATCCTTAATAACTGTTTACACTGAAAATTTCGTTTGATAATTTTATTTACAGTTATTATTGAAAAAGGTGTGATTGTTGACAGTAGCAAAGAAACAAAAGTTATATTTAGTCAAAGATGTATAGTTATTTTTGTGTAAAAAATGATAGTGACACGACGCATCCTTTGTCACATCACAATAAGATAAAGTCATCAAGCTGCGTTACGCTCGAAATTCGCACACATCACGTCGCTATTCAATTTCACATTGCACCAGACAATTTATATATTATTTATATTTACATTTTTCGCCTGATTTTACTTGAAAAAATTGAGATTTCAAAAGCAAAAATGAAATATCCCACGCAAAATTCAGCTGTACACCGTTTTTCTCTCCTTGTCAACTGAGACACACAATCACTAGTGCTATCAGCATAATATCAACGGTAAATCCCGGAAAAACGTCCTTCTATTAATCCTAAGCTGTTGATGAGTGTCCATGATATCCTTGGTGGCTCCATAGTCCACGATTTTTCCAGCGCAATAGCGTAGCGAAGGGACCATTGTGTAGCCGTGATTTTTACGACGTGGCTGTCTCCTTTCTTCCGGAAAAGCGAGTCCTGTGCCCCATAAAAGGACGCCTGATTTGTGAGGATCAGATTTCGAGATATTGTAGTAGTGCGCCCGTGTGAGGATTTGGGTCTACTTTAGGGTTTTTTTTTTTTCTTTTCCTTCTTCTTCCAGAATGAGATAAATTGTTGTTCTTACGAGGATTTTCATTCGCACGCGCAGGAATGGCGTTTCTTGATATAAATTGCTTGATTTTTTTCTTGATTCATGGGGGCTCTTTTATGCATTTATTTTTATAATTACAATAGAGTATATCATATACATCTCTAATTCTGTTTGAGAGAAAAAAAAATTATATAATCCTATGCTTTATCATGTCAAATGAAAATAATTTATAGAATTTTATCAACTTTCAGAGCATCATCCAAAAATAAAATAAAAAATACAAACGCTTCGTAAGATTTTAAAAAAAATCGGACAGCATTGACATGTCGACTCGATGTTTACACACCGTTCCAAAACCGACTCAACTTTGTACCCCCGAGAACTTTCGACTTTTATCTTGTATTTTTTCATAAAATTTATTTGCCCGCGTCTTTTAATTTCGTCGACAGGGAAATAAGTGAGTCACTGCGTGCGGAGATATTTTATATTTAAATATCATCAAAGCCAGAGGGAGAGAAGGAGACACTCTGGCGTAACCAACGAGCGCCTTGCGAGATTTTATTCGCTTCATAAATAGTCGGCAGACGCAAACTGATCTAAACCTCGGGGATTTAATTTTATCGTATCAGTCATCGAAATCAGCAAGCCGGGCAGCTAAATACAGTTTGCNATTTGTCAGGGTAATTTGACTCGAGTGGCCGCTGTGTAGGATTTGGGTAGGAGGGCGTTTGAGTGTTTTTTTTTTTTTTTTTTTTTTTTTGGGGAAAAAGGGTAGGAGGGCGTTTGAGTGTTTTTTTTTTTTTTTTTTTTTTTTTTCTTACTGATGCACACATTTTTTTATAAAAAAAAAAAAAAAAAAGAAGCTTTTTTATCCAACGAGGATCGGCAACACCTTGCACTTGATCTCCCGAACGCACTGCAGGGTGGTATCGTTTTAGCCCCCTCGTCGAATGGCGCAGCGCCCCAGTTCACCAAAACTCACTTTTCCAATAATTATCATCATCATTGATATTATTATTGTATCACACACGCACTCTCTTTCCACACCCCCGCAATCATGAAATATCACGGTCAAGTTGTACCTCGTACGACTGCACCGTGTACGCGTGGAGGTAAAAAGAGAGAGAGAGAGAGCGGGCAGGCGATGGGGGGGAGGACCGCGTGCTACGGTCAGCCGCGAGTGACTGACTGAGTGACTGACTGCCGGGGCGGCTGATACTACTGATGCCAAGTCGCGAGAGAGAAGGACGCCCGATGCAGAGAGGGAGCGGGGAGTGGAACACGCGCGCGCGCTCTGGCGTTGTGCCGTGTGTTGGTGCGTTTGGGTGTGTGTTGCGGCGGCCTCCCGGGTAGCAGCGATGCGCCGTAGAGGGGGAGGAAAAACTTGCGGAGGGCTCGCTGGGTGGTTCTTATTATTCTTCTTCTTTTTTTTTTTTTTTTTTTTTTTTTTTTTTTTTCTCAAACAGGAGCGTGTAATCGCTAGTTTGATACATTATTGCACTACATGCTTAACATGTTACATGTGTGTGAATTCAGACAATGATTCTATAGATTTTCATTATCATTTAACAGTAGAAAAAAAATTTACAACAAACATATGTAAAATGGGTTTTTTTTTTTTTTTATTTCTAGCAGATCATATAGTGCAACACATTTTATACATTGAAGTTCACTACAAATATTTCAATAATTTTGCAAATACTTTGGAAGTTTTTTTCAAAATCGTCTTTTCTTTCAAATTCTAATCCAATGAGCTATGCGTTGTAAGTAGTGATGGAAAAAATTGTTTTATTCATCACTATTTTCAACACAATATTGCAAACATTTTTTTACTGAAGATAAGTAGCAACGCATATATAGATATTAAATTTTGTTTTGTAGTATTCAAAACCGCAAACATTTAAACACTACTTTTTTTCTCCGATGCGAGACGAACGAGGGGAAAAAATAAACTTTTGCGGAGCTCAGTTCGGAAGAATAGGACA